TAGATCCTGGAGCAAAAAATAAGAGATATAATATGTTTTTTTTTTCTAGTGACGGAATATCTATTCCGTCAGTCTTACAGAGGGATAAAAATTAAAGAATGTTTATGTTAAAGATAACCAGTGTTTTTTAATTAATTCATTAATTAATTAATTAATTTATGATAGTCATACAGAGAGAGAGAGAGGCAGAGACATAGGCAGAGGGAGAAGCAGGCTCCATGCACCGGGAGCCTGACGTGGGACTCGATCCCAGGTCTCCAGGATCGTGCTCCGGGCCAAAGGCAGGCGCCAAACCGCTGCGCCACCCAGAGATCCCAAAAATAACCAGTATTGATAAAATAAAATTCTATGACATTAAGACTGTTTTAGAAAATCTTCAGCATCTGGCCACTCTTGTATTTTACCCTTGGTTGTATGTGTGTGTGTGTGTGTGTGTGTGTGTGTGCGCGCACACGTGCACATGCATGTATGATGCTCACAGATGCTCAAACTACTTTGTATACAAGTAGTGTTATACAAATAATTCCATGGTATTAGAATATGCAATATCTCAAAATGCAGTTTACACTGACCCATCAGCTCGTTAACTTATCAGCCCCAAACACATTTAACACAGAGCAGCAATTGTTCATGGCAGGTTATTGCTTGCTCTTCTCGCCTGCCAGATGAAGGAATGCTAAAAATGGCTTTGTAGATTGGGAAACTTATACTTTAAAAGAGTGATATTACTTATTAGAAACATAGAGTGGGAATTTTTAGAGCAAGAGTTCCAGATTCCTGTGGCTCAGATGGGTGTGTTACTCATTGTCCAGCCTACTCCATTGTTTATCTGACTCTAAAAGCTGTTTATTGAAAATAACTTAAAAATTTTTTGAAATACAGAAAGGCATAAATAAAAACAACAATAACTCAATTTCAACACTCAGAGAGAACTCCTATTAAGAATTTGACTTTTAAAATAATTTTCTGTGACCTTGTGACTATATGACTTCGTATCCTGCTTTTATTACCCAACAACATATGTTAAGCATGTTCTATATAACTAAAAATGCTTAAGAACATAGTTTTTAAATCATGTGAACTCTACCGTGATAGAGATGTTTGGATAGGGCCTGGACATAGTAGATACTCGGTATCTATTGAAAGTACTCTGATTTACATGTTTGCTCTCTAGTTCTTTCTTTCTTTTATAAATTATATTACTATGGATGCTTTTAGACACACTATAAATCACAAGCCTTGGGAGTTATTTCCTAAAATTTGACGTCTTCAAGATATAACCACCAAGTCAACAGCACAAACATATTTATGGCCCTTGATAGAAATTGTTTTTCAGTTTTGGTGCCCAACTTCAAGAAGACTAGTAGAAATTATAGATTAAAATGATCTCTTTGGACAGAACATAGGTAACTAGTTGATAGGAGAATCAAACCATGACTTTCCTGAGATCATTTAACCAAGATAGTTTACTAGTCATGGGTGATAGGGAACAGTGAAGTTAATATATCTAAATGTCGACCACCCTACAGTTAACCCTAGAAGGCTTTATTCTATATTCAATAACTGTGCATGGAGTGCTAATGATGAATTGTCTGCAAACCTTTACAGTCGACTTCATAGACCTCAGTCTATGAAGGTTTAACACCATCTGGGACGGTTGAGTCAGAGAGAGATCTTAGAGCTCACGTCTTTGGGGGAAACTACATGTAATTTATTCCTTCACAAATGCTGCTGCTCATTACGTAGAGTTTGGAGGGAGAGGAGACTGAAAGTGAACCGTATAGAAGGCACGTGTGAGCCATGTATGAACCATGTGTGAATCATGTATGAAATATGGATGAGACATGGGTAGGTCATTATGAACCATGTGAACCATGCGCAAACCATGTATGAACCATGTGTGAAGCATGTGCAAGGCACGCATGAAGCCTTTGTGAACTCCAGCAGAGGTCTTGGGCTCACTATTTAACTTCCCAAGGTCTTGGTTTTTCACTTGTAAAATAAATAATTACAATTCCAAACCCAGCTCGTCTTTGAAATCCAAGCTACAAGGGTCTCTGCTCAGCAGTTTAGAGCTGATCTCTAGGCTACCAGATAATATCCATTGATCTCTAAAGGTAGAACTTTGTGTTCACAGACAAACATAAGATTTTGGAAGCTTCCTGAGATATCCTATGTGATTAGCTTTTCTTTAAAAAATTTTTTTATACTAAAAATAGGCAAAATCTAACTGTCTGTCTTCTGCCTTACTGATCTTGACAGCACATCTTTTTTTTTTTTTTTTTTTTTTTTGTGCCAATGTTGTGGCCCCATCCAGAGCCCAGAGCACCTAGGAGCCAGTATTGGTGCCTTTTACCCTACTCCTTGGCTTAAAATGTGTTTTGGCATGATAGGATGATAGATTTATATTGTTGCACAGATGTTGAGTACATGGTATTTCTTTCATCTGTTTTATATTATTTTTCAGTGTGGGGTCCTGGATGATATTCCATCTATGTCCTTCCCTAGATGAGCAGGAGCCGAGACACTTACTGGATGGTCCTGAGGGGACCAGGAATGGCTGTCCCATGCCATTGAGGGCTAATACCCAGTCACTGAGAGAACAGTCCAGAAAGGCAGCATCTAGGGCAGAAACTGAAAATAAAATCACATAAAATTATCCAGCTGCTTTGTCAATCTGAAAGATCCATCAGAGGAAGAAAGTCCTGTCAATGGAAGGGAAACCAGATGAGTCCAGAGGGTTGGAAGTGGAAGGGCAATGGAGCCTAAGCCGTGAGAGTGGCTCTAGCAGCTTTTCGTAGGCACCTTGTTGCCTCTGGGGATCACAGAGAGTTACCACTAAGAGCAACATCTGGACGTGGCCAACTATTAAATGACTCGAACTGTACTAGTAAACAGGATCCTGGCTGGCCAGCAGCCAGCAGCAGATTTTGCTGGAACTGCCACACCAGCTCAGGGCCAAGGAACATATGGCAGGACCCCTGAGTCATCTGTGCTCTCTCTAAGCACTTCAAGAGCCACTGTGGAGTGCTCACAGTGGAGCACTGAGTGATACTGGATGCTTTTGTGTGGCTTGCATATTCACTTTAGTTACAGTGGATCTTAACTGATTGGAATAAACTTCCCCATGATGCTTTGTGACCAGGGAGCTCATCAACAGGTAAGTTAGTTTCAACCTTCTGGGCTGCTCCATAGAGGACTTTTTTTGGGTGAAGAGCCATTCAGACACATGACTGGAAACCAAAATGCTAGACTTCTCGGCGTCGGGGGCTTTAAGAGCCATAAGGGCTGAACTGAAGATGAGTGAAGAACTGAAGATGAGCGAAGAGAGAAAGAAAATGTCTCTTCCAGGAGGTAGAGATCACAGTTGAGGAGAAATTGGCACCCCTCACAGTCCCTCCCCCAACTTAGAAGCAGTAAGACAGTCACATCTTTACACAACCACGATTACGCCAAGGAGACTGATGGTCATCTTAGTCCTTGAGTCTTCCGATGACTTGAACTTCACTTTTTCCTCATGTTAATAATTCTCAGGCTAAATTAGTACTGCGTGTGCTAGTTTAAAGTTTTCCTTTGGGAACCTGCATCATTGCTTCTGGTACTAGCTGTTCCTCTTTTATTGAACAGTAGCAAATGTGCTACCCAGTTTTAAATCCATATTTGGCAAGTTCTCCATGGTTCAGTGTCAAAAGAGGAGATGGGGCCAGCTTTCCTTGATTTTTATAAGAGATGTAATTCTTTATTTGAAAAGATGTTTGCCAACCGTTTACATTAAAAATAAATATATCCACACAAATGCTATTTGGCTCAAATTAGGATAAGCTATGCTTTGACTTTAGATGAGATGAATTGTTTGCGAGAATGGAGATTTATTCAATATTCAGCAAACACTTATTGACTTTTCACTATTGGCCAGGAATAGTATTAAATACCATGAGGTTTGTATTGATAAATGAGATAATCCCTGCCTTCAAATCACTCATAGTCTCTTGAGTGATAATAAAAGATCAATGGCACGTTGTGGGGCGCTGGGGGACTTAATCGCTTAAGCCCCTGACTCTTGATTTCGGCTCAGGGCATGATCTCAGGGCTGTGAGATTCAGCCCTGTGTCAGGCTCAGTGCTGGGCTCGGAGCCTCCTTAAGATTCTCTCTCTCCTGCTCCCTCTACTTCCTCCACCCCTCTACCTGCCCAGTGCTCGCCTGTGCTCTCTCTCACATAATAATAATAATAATAATAATAATAATAATAATGGCACATTGTAATTAATATTTAGGTATACATAAGCACAGGAGGCTTTAAAGCCATTTTCAGGGATCCAGACATGGAACACCAGACTCAGATTATCAGCAATTACCTATGTGCACCCTTTGTTTTTTGTTTCCCAAGTGTTCTCTACATGTTACCAGGTTTGATAGCCTGTTCTCTTTAAGTCATTCCTCAAATATCACCTTCCTCCTGAGTCTTCCATGACCATCAGCTTTAAAATTGTATCTTCTGCCCACTTCTATCCCATCTCCATCCCTTACCCTGTATTCTCTACTCTTCTCCTGGGCTTTCTTTCTTTCTCCAGCAACTGTCGCCATTGGATAGAATACATATTTCACTTTTTATTTCTGATTATTATTATTAATTAGCTCTTTTTCTGTTCCCTCACTAGAAATGTAAGCTCTGTCCTTATATAGTCATATTCTGAGCACCTAGAAGAGTGGCTGTCATATAGGGAGTGCTCAGTAAATATTTGTCGACCAAAATTAAGGATGAGGACTTTTATCATTTGTACAAAGTTAAGGATATATCTAATGGCCTGTTCATTGTATTTTTATTCTTTGCATAGCTAAAAACTTCTAAGGGGGAAAATATTAGATAAAAGTCAGATGGGAAAGTTATCTTGCAATTAATTAATATTTATCGAGTTGCTGTTACACATTAGACACAGTGCTGGATAATGTAGTAAATACTGGAAGCTCAAGAGAGAGCTTTGCCTTCAAGTATCCTACAGTTTAATTGGGGAGGGAGATATGAAACCATGAACAAAAAGGTAAGAACACAGAAAAATCGTATCGGCTACATTAGGCAGAAAAAGAGGAAGAGCTAAGGGAAAGCCTAAGCAACCTTGGCTGAGTTGACGGAGGGTAGGCTGGTTGGTCAGGAAAATTTCCTGGAAAACATGGGACTTGATGTGGGGTGCAGGATTTAGGGAGAAACAAAGGAAGGCTATGGGGGAGGGGTGATGGAGGCAGAGAAATGTGCGACTCTACAAAGCTATGGCAATGGGTGACATATTCTAGCATGAAAGAACCCTTAGATTTTTGCATGAGTGTTCTTTAGCAAAGTTATCTTGGGACACAGTAAACTTATTCCCGTAATGCTACCTTTGCTCCAACCATTGTGAAATGCCCCTTTGGAAATGATCTTTGGAGACTGTGACTTGTGTTTTTGAACTTTCTCACTGGGGACATCCTACATTACTGGTGAAGCTATTTAATATTTTTGAGAAAATCCAACAGTGGTTCCAGCTATAACAGTGGTTCAAGCTGGGTGCTATAGAATGAATGTTTGTGTCCCCCACACTCCCAAATTTACATGTGACATTCTAGGACCCAAGATGATGGAATTAGGAGGTGGGGGCCTTTGAGGGCTCTCTCATTGGATTAATAATGGGATTAGTGCCTTTATAAAAGAGACTTCAGAGAACTCCCTCATTCCTTCTGCCATGTGAGGACAGAGAAAAGATGGCTGTCTATGAGACCCCCATCAGTTGGGGTCTTGATCTTAGATTTTGAAGCCTCTAGAACCATGAGAAATGAATCTTTGTTGCTTTTAAACCACCCAGTCTATGAGCACCTGGGTGGCTTTAGTCAGTTAAGCATCTGCCCCGGCTCAGGTCATGATCTTGAGGTTCTAGAGTTGAGCCTCCCCCTGCCATCAGGATCCCTGCTCAGTGGGGAGTCTGCTCTCTTTCTGCCCCTCCTCTCACTTGTGCTCACTCTTTCTCGCTTTCTTTCTCTCAAACAAACAAATAAATAAAAATAAATAAATAAACCACCCAATCTATGGTATTTTGGTATAGAGCCTGGGTGAACTGAGATACTGGGTTAATAAAGTGACTGATCAAGCTGGACAAGGCCATTTTGGCCTCCACCAAAGGATTTTAAAGTAATGGGCTAGATTTTCAGATGTGTCTCCTGCACTAGAGCTGAAGGCAACTCCCAAGTCGGGATTTAAAAACGTGTTGGGGAGAACTGTGCCTTTGTCATACATCAACTTCTAAGATGACTGTTTTGAAAGCCATTGCTCATTTGCATGAATAATTGCCTAAAAAAAGAAGCATTACTCCTTAAGAAGTCACTCTTCACTATTGTAAAAATGGATTCCTTTCTAATTTCTCTGAATTCCTTCTACGAGCCCTTTGCGTATGGGAATGTTTTCTCTGCTTCTGTATTTATTGGAATTGAACCAATTTAACTGTGATGTTGAGAAATGACCTCTCTGACTCAAGAAAATCATAGGGAAAAGAGCACAAAGTTAGCTCTTATTTAATTGTTACATGAGCATTATTGGTGTAGGCGAAGGAGATAACTAACTTTGACTTTGTCCTTAATATAAAAGAGAAAAGTCAGGCAGTGGCTACATCGTGCGAACCAGACATGGTGCCCCCTTGGGGACACATGTGACCCATCCCACTTCTCCCTTTATGCTCTCCCATATCCAACTGTAAGCCTCAAACTCTGGCTTCAGGCCTCAGTCCTGAGATGCTCAGATGACTGGCCAGCTGTGAGCATGATCATCACTAAACTTTGCCTTGGCTTTCCTGAGTAGATGCCATTTCCATGTTCTTCAACGTTGGATTCTTTGGTGGTAGAGGGATTATAATCACCAAACCATTACTATTTTATGTATACATGAGCAGACCAATAATCGCATTTGATATTTGACATCTATAGAAATTATTCACGTATAGGAGCTTACAGACGACTTTGACAGGACCCCGTGCTGACGGAGAACATTCAAAAGGCTGATCTGGTCACTGTGGCTCTGAAAGTGACTCACCTCCCTGCATCTATCCCAGGGTGGACCATGGGAGAGAGAAGAGGTAAGTGTAGATATCCACTCGGCTAGAGTTTCACTAGCTGCTGACAAATAGATCCTAAATGCGAGGGATCACTTGGGAAGAACCAGCCTTGTTAAAAGGGGGCAAGGTCAAGTTTCAGGAATGGCAGTTCAATTGTCACCTCAGGTCTTAATATCCACAAGACTTATATAGCCTGAAAGGCCCCCTGGAACCTCCTAGTTACGCTGCCCTGGAATACATAGAGCATTGAAGTAGAAAGGGACTGGGGAAAAGAATTCATTTCCCCAAATTCATATGTAATTCATCTACAGTTTGTCACTGTTGCTTAAGGTGAGTTAGACTTACCTCCCAGACTAGGTTGCATGTTTCTAGGGTATAACACAGAATATATGCCCTTAATCTGTCTCCACTTAGGTTAGCAAGCGTCAGACTATTTGGAAACACACAGTTAAATATGTTGAGTTACTGTGAGGACTAACCACTTGTAATTGTGTTTGGGTTTCACAATATCTGTAGAAATACAGAGAGCGCAGAAATAAAGCAAGTGGGGCGGGGGTACAGTGCATTCTGTTACAGGCAAAGTGACAAGAGACAAATTATCTTAGGGCAGACTTTCCTACCCCTCCGTAGTCCCAGAGCTGTATAAGTCACTTTGCTGTGTGGTTTTGGCTTTTTATTGGTGATCACTGTCAGACCTGTACTTTTAAAGGCAACGTACCAACCGGTGTGTAAGCAGGCAAAGAAAGACGACGGTATCTGCAAGGAAGTGCAGGAAGGACAGGAAAACACGAGCAAGTTGGCGCTTTGTGGATCATTATTGCCCTTGCTTAATAAAGTAATAGATGCTTCAAAATTACTTTGAAGTGGCTGCCAACTTCCTCCCAGCGCTGTGAAACCTGATACTTCTGCCTTTAAACCATGCGTGAAAGTGCAAACAGTAGTACTTGTGAATTCATTCAGCGACTTCCAAACTGTAGTCTAAGCAGGGGATGGGAACCCAAGGGGGGGTGGGGGGGGAGGAGGGAGAAAGGGCCTCTGCAAGGTTCGGTGGTTGGATGTCAGATTTGGCTGCCTCCGAGTTATGCAGACTTGAACTTTACCGAGATAAACATTGGTTTCCCCAAACGATCTCAAGGAATTAAAGGGAGGAACTTTGATCTTCTTAACAATCTTCTTTTAATTGAATAAGCTCATGGCAGAGTTAAGTGAAAGCCAGCTCAACCCATATTTAATCAAACGCTTATCCGACTACCAAATTTAATAGCTGCGTTTCAGAAGGGGGAAATTAGCGTCCAAATAATAAAAGGGGGGGGCAGCAGCATATTTTCTGTGCTTGAACCAAGAGGACTAGTGCGAAGGCCTGGCTCCGTCCTCAGTTCTCTTCTCGGCCCTCCCTCTCCGAGCAGGTGGTCCACGTGCTGAGGTTCTTGAGAATGTCCAGAGTCATTCTCCTAAGTGTCAATAAGGCCACATGGGAAATGGAGGTGTGTGTGGGGGGGGGGAGCCTCATTTTTAGAACTCCATCATGGCCTTGGTTGCAGGCTCATATAATCTCTGTTGTCTTTGGGGAGAACATGCCAACGGAGTGCCGTCCTTGCCCAGTTTGCTTGCTAACCAAGGGGTTTAGAACAAAGGTTGGCTCCTTGGCCGTTCGTTGCCAGATGGGTTGTGTAACAGATTCAGAAGTCTGAAATCTGTGACTTCAGCTCTTCCTGAGCAACCAGCCACTAAATCAGACAAGCAGAGAGACGATTTTCTTGTGCAACACGGTGGGAGTACCAACGAGGCATGTGGTGAAATAGAGAAGTCTTTATGTGAACCCTGGGCCAGAACAGCACAGTTTCTCTCCCAAAGAATTCATCATTTGGCTATGGTGCAGATGTCCATGAAAACCCTGTGCTCCGCAGCAGCACTGTTCAATGGAAGACTTTCTGCAAGAAGGACCCGCTTCTATCTGTATTGTCCAGTATGGTAGTTACCAGCCACATGTGGGCTGAGGCACCTGGGGCGGGGGGCGGGGTGGGGGGGCTCCGTGGTTGAGCCTCTGCCTCCAGCTTAGGTCGTGATCCCGGGGTCCTGGGATTGAGTCCCACATCAGACTCCCCGCAGGGAGCCTGCTTCTCCCTCTGCCCATTGTCTCTGCCTCTCTCTCTGTGTCTCTCATAAATAAAATCTTAAAAAAAAAAAAAGAAAGTGCAGTGAAAGTTACTTTTACTTAATTTTGATTCATTTTAATTTCAGTGGTCCCATGTGTCTAATGGATTCTGCATCGAACAGCACAGCTCTAGAGGGACCACAGCAGAGATATTTGCGAACACCTGCTTCATGTGTTAATACAAAATTCATGGACACCATGTCTGGTGTAGGCTTTTAAACTTTAGGAACTTCCATTTATTTTTCTCATGAAGCCTGCAGTGCTGATCATAAAAACGAGACACATTCCTGCAATATGGTAAAGCCCTCCTTAAAAACAAGAAAGGGATGAAATGTAAAGGGGAAAAAAAATAAGCTGAAGTTACAGGTGTTTCTCGAGAAGGACTGATGATTATTTCTTGGCCAGACATTTGCTGTGATGAAAAGCAGTAATGCCTCAGCAAGCAGACCACTCTCGTACTGTCACTCCTTTTGGGATGCTGGGTTCCTGCACTTTTATCTGTGTTGGAGAGCTGTCTAACTCCTTTCCAAGCCACATCTTAGAAAAACAAAGCAAAACAATAAAACAGAGAGAGGAAGATGTGCTAGGTGTGGGAAAATGCTTAACCACACGGGTTTCAACTTGCTATCAAGTCATACCATATGTGGCTGTAACTTACTGATTCGGAATCTGGAACACGCTGGCTGTGGAAGCACTTTTATAATTTGCTAGCTTCCAAGGCCGAGCCCCGGTAGGCTATTTTACTGACCATGGAGTCCTATATGTCACTTCAAATATTTTATTTCAAAGATGATGGCTTTCCTTTTCTCGTCTGTGGGCATAGCAGTTTGTTGCTCTTAGACTCATCAAGGAGCCTTGTTTGGGTTTGTGACTGGAAGAAATTTCTGGAGAGCAAGAAAAATTGAGAGGGAAACAGACTGCCATGGAATGGATAGAAGTTGAACGGAAGTGGAAGGATCAAGTCAAGGTTGAAGACGATTGTTGGAGGTGAAATTCATACAGTTGGGAATCCTAACTGTCCCCATTCACAGAGCATGTCCTTCTAGCACCTGGAACTGAGCTGGATTATGTATGTTAATAATTTCTTGTCATTTTCCTGACAACCGTCTGAAGTTGACCCTCTCCGCGTTCTGCCTCAGTGGGGAAACCAAAGTTGAGAGTTGAAACAACTCACTCAAGGTAGCCCCTCACCCTCTCCAGGTAAAAATAGATGAGTCTGGATTTAAATGCAAGCCTGTTGAGTGCCAAAGCCCCTGCGTCCCATGACACTGATCCTGGTGTGAAATGGAAGATGTGGGTGGTCATGATGTGTACGACCCCTTGCGGAGAGATGAAAGGGCCCCCCAAAAAGGGTGTTGGGTTGGTGGTTCCTGCTGCTGGTCCGGAAATGGGTGATGAGCTGGCGAGGAGCAAAAGGGGATCGATCACGGAGCGACCAGCTGGTCGAGGTATGAGAATTTTAAGGAGCCAGGAGATCAGGACCCAGGGATGCCTCTTGTTGCATCTGTGTGAGGGAAAGCTCTCTGGCACCGAGCAGCCTGCAGGCTCGGACTGTTGGCCCCATTGCTGGGAATGTTGGACCTTGGTGGGTCTGCAATGCTCACCTTTCCAGGGAATTCGCTTCAGAGACTCTTCTCTCTGGTCTCAAAGGGTGAACTATGCAAACCGGTACGTTCATTCCAGCGATCCACCTGTTTTGAATACCCAGTGCTCACTGCCAGCCCTTCTACATGCCACAAACAAGGAACGGATGCCTCTTAGGTGTCACGTGCTCTTTGATGCCACCTAACGAGAACACCGACTCCACAGAGTGGATAATGTATTTTAAAAGTCAAACCTTAATTTACTTTACCTCTTATTTTAAGACCTTTTTAATCCCCTCATGAGGCTTTATACCACAACACTGTGTGGCACTAACGTGGTCCTTAAATGAGAGCATTTTCCTTGCAAGTGTATTTATAACTTTCCTCTTGATTTAGGGCTTGACAGGGCTGAGTAGAAACTAAATATAACCAGCATTTGTATTTTTCCCTCCCAAGCCTGTTGGGCATTGAAAAGGAAGGAGGAGAACACAAGCGTTGGGAAAAAGCCTTCCAGTGTTAATGAGCAGCTGTATGTATCTCAGGAAAACAGTTTGTAACTAAAAATAGAGTCTCTCTAACTATAGCAACTCAGAGCATTTAATACCCAGATTATGCATGGGCAGAAATGAATTCCAAACAAGTGTGTGATTAAGGAGGGTGGAATGGTAGCACTGAAGGGTCCGAAGAACCAGGGCCCCGAACCCAGGGGTGCATCAGTGCCCCTAACGAACTTCAATCAAATATGCTTAGTGCATCCACAGATTTTTCTGAGTCTCCAAGACAATTAGAAATCTGTTTTTAACAATGAAGCTAAAAGGAGAAACAGTGCACACAGGCTAATTTTAGCACACTTCGCCCAATTGGTTTTCCTTTTCTTTCTTTCTTTCTTTCTTTCTTTCTTTCTTTCTTTCTTTCTTTCTTTCTGTCTTTTTCTTTTCAAATTATTTTTTTTAATTTTTATTTATTTATGATAGTCACAGAGAGAGAGAGAGAGGCAGAGACACAGGCAGAGGGAGAAGCAGGCTCCATGCACCAGGAGCCCGACGTGGGATTCGATCCCGGGTCTCCGGGATCGCGCCCTGAGCAAGGCAGGCGCTAAACCGCTGCACCACCCAGGGATCCCTCTTTCTTTCTTCTTTCTTTCTTCTTTCTTTCTTTCTTTCTTTCTTTCTTTCTTTCTTTCTTTCTTTGCCAAAGAGTAAGTAGAAAGAAAGAAATATAAATACTCCAAGGAAAAGGTAATTTAAGTTTCTTGGTGTGTGGCTACGGTTTACTAAAGATTCCAGGTAGGTCCAGAGCATGGAGGAGTTTTAAAATGGCCATCTCTGTTATTTTATTAGTATTTGTTAAATTTGGATAGCTCGAAAGTGCAGTCTAAGCCAAATTAAAAAATTAATTTTTATTTATTTATTTTTAATTTATTTATTCCTGAGGACACAGAGAGAGAGAGAGGCAGAGACATAGGCAGAGGGAGAAGCAGGCTCCCCGCAGGGAGCTTGATCCCAGGACCCTGGGATCATGGCCTGAGCCTAAGGCAGACACTCAAGCACTGAGCCACCTATAGGATTTAGAACTTTCAAGAGGTATTTGTTGTTGTAACCAGTGCTATGGACTGAATTATGCCCCACCCCCACTCCCATTCATAGGTTGAAACCCTAACCACCACTGTGCTGGCATTTGGAAGTGGAGCCTTTGGGGGGGGCAGTGGGATCCAGGGGAGCTCATAAGGACAGGGCTCTCCTGATGGGATTAGTGCCCCATTGGAGTGCTTGCTCTTTCTCTCCCTCTCTCCACCAGGTGAGAACACTGTGAAAGGAGGCCATCTGCGAGTCAGGAAGAGATCCTTCATCACGAACCAAATCTGCTGACCTCTTGATCTTGGACTTCCCAGGCGCCAGGACTATGGGAAGTCAAGTCTATTGTTCCAGCCACCCAGTCTATGGTAGTCTATTATAGCAGCGTGTGCAGACTAGTACAGCTAGCATTGCCATTGTTGTGTTGCATGGCTATTGTTCAGTAACCAGGGGATGACCAATCAAGCATTTTGGTGCCTCTCCATATTCTTTTTTCCTTTCTCCATGATGAATGAAATCTTCTGGAAATGTCAACAGGTGAAGATATCTCCTAACACCTGTTCTGATCTGGACTGGCTATCACTCAATAAAGCATTTCTATCGTGTGTAGATTTGTAATTTTTAATTAAAGGCCAGACCTGCAAACTAAGCATTTTGGTGTCTTTGGCAGTTTAGTACTGGAAAGAAGAAGAGGGAGGCTGCCAATGTTCAAATGGCTGATAGCCACACCTTTGTTTTGAAATCATAATTGTTATGTTCTTGGCCCCGGAGGATGACCTGGTTCCATAAATACCTGTGAACACATGAAGGAAAGAATACTTCCCACACTGAAGGATTTTGACCACAGTAACGCTTACTTAAAATACAGTTGGTGAGTTCCCTTCTTGCAACAACAACCGATTGACTTGAGAAATGAAAATATAACTGACTTTTTAAAAGGATACAATCGTTTTTAAATCCTTGACACACATGGTCTCATTTTTATTTGTATTTTGGAGTCAAGTCGCAGTGGCAGGTATCACGGTACCTTGCAACTGATGGAGAAACCCTGTCAGAGAAGCCCAAGTAAAAGGATAATTTGTTCCCCTCTGTGGGATACTTTCTCAGAAACTTTAAAATAATAGCTTTCCATTTCTAGAGGACTGAGACTGACCATTCTCAAACTGTTGATGCACTTTTTTTTTTTTGCAGTGATGGGGGGGCCAGAGCCGAGGAAGAAATTCCACTGCTGTTCTCAGATGTATATTCCCAAACATGGGTAAAAACAAGGAGGCATTTCTCGCGCTCTGTATTGTTGAAGTCTTCTTGGGTAAAAATGGACCAAAACAAAACAAAATAAAAACATTGTGGGCAGCCTCCTTCCATGGCCTGCAGAGTCCTCGGGTAGGACTGGGTGATTCTTTCCAGTCTCTTCCCAGGTCATTTTAAGTGCAATGTGAATGCTAAACTGAACCATACAAAATAACCACATTTTTTGTGGGTCAGAAATGGTCAAGTACGGGCAATTTCTTATAGCCCTCCTTAGAACAGATATTTCTCAGTTTATGGCACAGGTTGATTGTGACACTGCTCAGTAGTCGCTCAGGCATTTTCAGCTTCCTCCTCTCCCTCCTCCTTACTCCACTACAATGATTAGTTGGTGTTTCTGAGTGCTGTGCACTCACTGTGTATTCAGATTTTATTGAAACACCCAAATAGGAGGGGAGGAGAGGGAAGGACTAAGGACCATAATGGTTTCTAATCATCACAAGAAATAAGAGCCTCCGGCTTAGGTAACATAGGATGCATTTTATTCCAGGGCAGAAGTCCACACAGCTCTCTATGTCTCACAAAAGAAAGGGTGAATGAAGTTGTCACTGTTACAGGAATAACCTAGAATTGGCTCTGGCTCATTTAGGAGGTCAATCATTTTCCAACATCAGTAATGAAGGAGGCACACTCTGTGACTCATATACACAGTGTCCTGACCCCATGGGTGAGAACTCCTAGCATTGCCTGCGAGCCCGTGGGAACCAAAGGGTTAAACTCGAAAGCCTTGAGCCTGGGCCCCAGGGAGCATGTCAAATGGGCTGCCCAGGGACTATCAAGATGACCAGGAATGCCACATGTCTGGGAAACCTCATCCAGTCTGTAAATTATAGTCAGTTGCTTTAAAAACCCTCCTTGGCCACTGAGGCTGCATGCGTGGAGCCTCGGTGGCCCGGATCATTCAAGACACAGAGTAAGGGCAGAGCTGGAGGGCCTCATGAGCACAGCCAACAAGCCCGGGTCAAATAGGAGCCGACATTTCCAAGGGCAGGGAATGAAGGCAATTGCAGCAGCACTAGGGTTGAGAGACCGTCCACCTAAAATCACCACTTCATGCATTGTGGACTGAGAACCATTTGCAGCTGACAGGAAATACCTTGCTACAGAGAAACAGTCCTCACAGGTTTAGAGCCCCTTGAGATGGTCTTCAGTTGACCGAATTAGGACTCAAATAGCTGGAGAGGATGCCAATGAGGCCAGGGACAGGCCAAGTCTTACCTGGCGAAGAATTTCCACCGATTTTTTAGTAAGAAAGGAATTCCCTTAGAAGAGAATACCAGAAGTTCACAAAACAGTATTCGTCCTTTAGTTTCTGGGTGCGGTGGTAGTAGCTGTGGCCCACCTTGTGTGTGTGAGCACGTGCTTATATTAATGGCTAAGTCATCTGTCTCTAGTTTTTTAATTTCGTAGCATGGGTTTTATGGCTCTCAAGGGACTCTTTATAAAGGCTGGAGTTAAAGGGCCGTTCAGATATTTTTATAGACGTGTCTACACCAGGTGGAATCAACGGATGAGTTCTCAGGAGATTTTACATTCTCTGAGGAGGCCGACCAGACAGTTCTTACAGAGTGCCGAGAAGGCTTGTTGGAACCTGGCCGTATCCCACCGTCCGCCAGGACAACAGCATGCTTGCTCATGCTCACCAACTCATTGCTTGTATTTGCCAGAGATAGGGAAGGAAGCCCATTTACATATTCTTTTTTTTTTTTCTCCAATCAGAGTTTTGGGATAAAGATAATTAAATTTGAAGGGCTTCCAAAATAGTTGTATGGATGAAGAGAATTGGATATTGTGACAATGATTGTCAAAAGGGACAAAGGCTTGAGTCTTAGGAGCAAATATTTATGCTATTAATTAAAAATAATAATAATAATAAAGAAATTCCAAAAAAGGGGCTAGTATAAGACAATAAAATGCACATGAAAACTTTAAGACTAGGTCAGCATTAGATCATCAAGGTTTTTTTTTTTTTCCTCCCTCTCTTAATTTTAATTTCCTGGTTGAACAGTAAGATTATAGTGAGGGGAAGAAAGTTTGAACTGTACTTGGTCATGGACACGTAGGGTATGCTGAGTCTGACCCCACCAAGAATTTTGCAAACACCCACACACTCTGAGCTTGATGGGGAAAAGATTTCCTTACATAAAGATGCGTATGAAGTGGTATCTGAAGTGAGAATTTCGAAATCTACATTTTATCAAGTAGAGGTGAAGCACCCCGTATTGTTGGTGTCTGCAGATTCTTACCTGTTTCTCTCGGAAGAACTGGCACTTTTCTCTATGTGGAAAGCAGAACTTGAACGGGTGAATTCTAGGAAATGGTACTTGGGCATCAGTAAACCACAGAACTGCCAGTCACTATAATTAGGAATATTGGCTTGTGATGGTCCCAAAAGGCATGCATTTTAAAAATCCCTAAAAATATTTTTGGAAGAAGGCAAGGGCATACATACATAAAACAAAAGTGAAAATTTACATTTAACACTTGCCTAGTTTCAGCAACGGGTGATCAGAGAAAATAGGGTAGAAAGAAAACAAAATCTTCCAACCACCAGTCTGGTATAAGAGATTTCCATTCCATTTTTGAGGGATCCGGTGGACAGATGGGACTGGATTCATGGCAAGTAGGGAAGAGACGTCAAACCTAGAGAAATAAGATTATTTAGTTATTTATGATTTATTTAAATCTCTTGGGGCAGGGCAGAGGTGGAGAGGGGCTTTGTTTCTACTGCCCTGGGTTTCTATATGGAGGCATGTCATTTCAAGCAGAGATTCTTATATTTTATTGTTGTTTTTTTTTTTCCTGGCAAAACTTACGAACCCTTCTCAAAATATTGTTTTTATTTTTATATATTTTTTAAAGATTTATTTTATTTATTTGAGAGAGAGAGAGAGAGACAAAGAGAGAGAGAGAGAATCTCAGGTAGATTCCCTGCTCAGCACAGAGCCAGCCCCATGAGAGGCTTGATCCCATGACCCTGAGATCGTGACCTGAGCCAAAACCGAGAGGTGGAGGCTTAGCTGGCCACCCAGGTGCCCCTCAGATGTTTTTAAGTTATTTAATGCATATATTGTGTAACATACACATATGTTGTGTTAGTAGAGGAAATTATATCATATCATAGAGGAAATTAATTATATCAAAATGCCCTTATCAAAATACTGAAACAAATTTATTATTATTATTTTTAAACCAGAAAAGGTTGTGTTATTTTTTAAATTTATTTTATTATTATTATTTTTTATTGGAGTTCAATTTGTCAACATATAGCATAACACCCAGTGCTCATCCCGTCAAGTGCCCCCCTCAGTGCCCATCACCCATTCACCCCAATCCCCCGCCCACTAAAACAAATTTAAATTTGTGATGTAACATGTTTCTTAATATCCTAAACATCAAGATCTAGCAGCGCATCGGAACTTCCTTAACTTTGAAGTACTGATGCACATAAGTGGGATCTGCCTCTCTGCACAGCATAACGTGGTACGAAAGTATCTGAGACGTCTGTGGCCTAGAGTCACATGTGCTGCTCATGCAAGTCAGGCTTATTGCCTCCTTTCATAACTGAAGGAAATGCTAAATTTCAGCTAGAGGTGAGCAGGTCAGATAGAGTTCAATGACAATAAAGAAGTAATTTTTCCCCTCACCAGTTTCTTAGCCCCCTGGATTTTCTCTGAGAACATCTTGTTAAGAACCACTGGTGGAGATTCCTGGGTGGCTCAGCGGCTTGGCCCCTGCCTTCAGCCCAGGGTGTGATCCTGGAGACCCGGGATCGAGTCCCACATCAGGCTCCCTGCATGGAGCCTGCTTCTCCCTCTGCCTGTGTCTCTGCCTCTCTCTCTCTCTCTGTGTCTCTCATTAATAAATAAATAAAATCTTAAAAAAATTAAAAAAAAAAAGAACCTCTGGCTCTGCTTCCCTTACTCGCTTCCATGGGAGGAGGGATGGGTTACTTGCCTACTGACTTTGGGAAAAGAAATGCAGCCTGTTCCTCTCCGGTCAGCTTTTTGCAGGCTTCTCTGTGTCTTCCAGGGAGCCTGTCTGCACGACGCCTTCCTTCTCCCTTCTCTCTGTCCCACAGAAAGGCCGGCCCGGGAAGGGAGATGTGCAGTTGTTGAGCTGGCCCGCACCCTTAGTGGGCCACTCGGTCTTTTTCAGGGCTCCTGCACCCTCTCCTTTGCAATGGGACTGAGCCACGTCTTCTAATCCAATTTTTATCAGTGATA